TTTAGATATATCTTTTGTAATCTGCAAAGGTTGTATCTTTTTTTTTCCTTTTCATCCGATCTAAGAATCTGCCTTCTAAACTCCAGTTAGTGCATTTACATTTAATTTAATTACTGTTATATTTGGTTTTATTTCTACCACTTTTTTTTTGGTGTGTGCTACTTATTTGTTCTACTTTCCTGTATTTCACTCTTCTCCTCTTTATTCTTTCTTTTCCTTCCTTCCTTCCTGCCCACTTGACACCTGTATTGTATTCCAATACTCTGGATGATGTCTCTTTAACTTAAAGGCATCTTTAACTCAAAGCATTCCACGTTGAAAATGACTAGCCTGACCAGATCACTGGGCCAGGATCTGCTTCCCAGGGGGTTATATGGGGCAGCTTCCAAGATGGCTGCCAGCCTATGGTTCAGATGATGGAGTGGAGGTGATAGACTTAGCAGGGGACCCATGACCTTTGACGGTGGGGTTATGAGCCCCTCCAGGGAGGAGACAGGCTCTGTGACAAGGCCCTGAGGGGCAGCAGCTACCGTGCTGTGTGCTGGACAGCTCTGCACTCCTGTCCTCCCTGGGACTCGAACCCCACATGGTCCCCCAACAGGGGTGTGTTGAGGAGGCCTGGGCGCTGGACAGCAAAGGCTTGAGCCTGGCCCAGGGACATGAGACCCAGCCTTGAACCTATAAACTCATGGTGCTCAGAAAGGCTTTTGAGGATAAGTAGCCCTATTTACCACCAGAAAATTCACGAAGGAGAAGAACCCCTCAGTGTCAGGAGTGCGAGGTGTCCTCAGAATTACACACCAGAGGAAAGCCTTTCATGTGAAGCACAAGAAAGTTTCAAGCAAAGAATGGGTTGTTGTTTCTTTTTCCTCTTTTTTCATGAGTTAGTTTGTTTTTGAAATATAATTAACCTCCAACACTATATTAGTTCCTGGTACACAACATAATGATTCAGTATCTCTATAATTTCAAAATGATCGCTACAATGGGTCTAGTTACTGTCTGTCATGAAAGATATCATGTAATTAATTGACTGCATTCCCCACACTGTACATTTCATATTTGTGACTCATTTATTTTGTGACTGGAAATTTGTTCCTCTTAATCTCCCTCATCTGTTTCTCTCCATCCCTACCCTCTACCAGCAATCACCTGTTTGAGGTCTGTATCTTGACTCTTTTTCTGGTTTTTAACATTTGTTATTTGTTTTGCTTTTTAGATTCCACTTATAAGTGAAGTCATACAGTATTTGTCTTTCTCGGTCCAACATATTTTACTTAGCATAATACCTTTTTGGTTCATCCGTGTTGTTGCAAATGGCAAGATTTTATTCTTTTTCATGGCCAAGTAATATTCCATTATGTATCCATATATACCACATCTTTTTTATCCAAAGGACAACATAGAAGGAATGGAAAATTTCTTAGAAAGGTACAAGTTGCCAAGACTGAAGCAGGAAGAAATAGACGATATGAATTGACCAACTACCAGTACTGAAATTGAATCAGAAATTTTAAAACTCCCAATAAACCAAAGTCCAGGACCAGATGGCTTCACAGGTCAATTCTACCAAACATTTAGAAAAGAATGAACACTTATCTTTCTGAAACTATTCCAAAAAATTGCAGAGGAAGGAACACTTTCAAACTCATTTTATGAGGCCACCATCACCCTGATACCAAAACCAGAGAAAGATATCAGAAAAAAAGAAAATCACAGGCCAATATCACTTATGAATATAGACGCAAAAATCTTTAACAAAATAACTAGCAAGTCAACTCCAACAACGCATTAAAAGGCTCATACACCATGATCAAGTGGGATTTGTCCCAAGGATGCAGGGATTTTTCAATATCCACAAATCAATCAATGCGATGCATCACATTAGCAAATTGAAGAATAAAAACCATTTGGTCATTTCAACAGATGCATAAAAAGCTTTTGATAAAATTCAACACCCATTTATGATAAAAACTCTATAAGTGGGCATAGACAGAACATATCTCAACATAATAAAGGCCATATATGACAAACCCACAGCTAACATCATACTTAATGGGGAAAAGCTGAAATCATTTCCTCTAAGTTCAGGAATAAGACAAGGATGCCCACTCTCACCATTTTTATTCAACATAGTTTTGGAAGTTCTAGCCATAGCAATCAGTGAAGAAAAAGAAATAAAAGGAATCCAAATTGGAAATGAAGAAGTAAAACTGTCACTGTTTGCAGATGACATGATACTATACACAGAAAACCTTAAAGAAGAGACCAGAAAACTACTAGAATTCATCAATGAATTTGATAAAGTTGCAGGATACAAAATTAATATACAGAAATCAGCTGCATATCTATACTCTAAACAAAACAGCCCAAAAGAAATTAAGGAAAGGGATTTTGAGTGCAGCGGATAACAGAGCCTGGAGTCCAGCTCCCACCTCCTTCAGAATCAGGAAGTCCATACCGCAGAAGTGCGTAGGAGTGCAGTGAACGTGGGAAAGCTGCTTCTGAAGCCCCTGCGTCCCCTGTCACCAGAAAGGTCACACTCTGGCAGGAGTTTATGAGTGTGGGATCAGGCCAAGTTCAGATCTAAGTTATAACTTCTCTTTCACCTACTTACCTGCTACTTAACCCATTTAGTTAATTTTATGTCAATGATTATAGTTTTTAATTCTAGAACTTCTCATGTTAGCATGTGCACTTACGTGTGCTCATGTATGTTTGTATTTCATTTTTTAATCTGACTGGATATTTCTGGTAGTCTTTTGTTCTTTAATCATTTGTTATGTGCACTTTCATTTTTAAACACATTAAGCATCCTTACATTCCATCTCAGACAATTTTAATCTCTATATTCTTTCCAGGTTTGAACTCTGCTCACTCTCACTCAGGATGGCATGCTTCCATTTGTGATTGTTCTGACTGTTAGCTCGTCCTTGTTGAAACTTTATCTGAGCAAATTATTTTGGGGATCATTTGAGAGCACAGGCCTCCTGGGAAGATTTGGGTTAGTCTCAACCCAGCTCCTGGCACCGCCAGCACGTGGCCACCTTACACACCACTCTAGACCCAGGGCTTTACACAGGTACACACGGAAGGAGTGAATATTGGCCCCAAACTCAGGTAAAGATGGGGTTGAGCTTATACATCCTTAGAGCATCATTTCTACCTAGAGTGAAAATAAAACAGGTAACTCTGCCTAGCACCTTCCTCTCCCCACTGGATTCAAGGAAGGAGTCAAGTTCCATGCGTGCGGCTTTATGGAGAACTCTGTGGTTCCGTTTTCCACCTTGACGAGGCCCTAAGCTCACCTGCAGCCTCCAGTGTGCGCCCAGTGTGAGGCTCCAACCCCCAGCAGTCAGTGGCTTCAGTTCAGACAGTTTCTTCTCTCGTGTCCCACCTTCTCTTTTTTTTGGCATATACACTTTCCTTACCATGTAGTCAGCACAGCCATTCTCTTGAAATATGTGTCTGGAATTTAATCCAGTATTTTTATTGTGTGTTGTACTGCAAGGATTTTCAAAGGTGTCAGTTCACCATGCTGTCAGAAATAAAGCTGCAATATAAATTAATGTATACTAAATTTTATGTATTGATAAATAAGGTAATTTGTATATTCAACAAGCAAAGGGCATGATTTTCAACCCCTCTCAGCACAGTACCCCCTTTGACTAATTTGAAGCTAAATCCTTAGAGATGCAAAATTGTCTATTCTGTTGTGACTGAATCCTACCAATTTATATGAAACCTAGAGGCAGTCAGGCTGTCAGTGACTGAAGCAGATTTTCAAAAGACCTCACATTGCTGCAAAGACGATACAGAGATCGCAACGTTATACATACCAGAGGATTTAAATTACTGTTAAATGTAATTATACCTACATACTATGTATAATATAGTACATACATATCACATTTGTATGCATATATGCATTTATATATAATTATACTTAAGAATCCTTCCCTATAAAGTGTATACACATTAATTTCATCCCAGTTGCAAACTTGCAAGACACTGTTATGCCTGGATATCTGTGAGTGACACACAAGTCATTATTTTTCTCCAGGATTTGCATTAATACAAATCTGTTCAGTGTCCCTAGTCCCTTTTGATGGGGAATGATTGTTACTGCTGCTCACTTGCTATCTCAGCGTCCTTGCAATCGTCCGGCAGGTGGATGAGAGAGGGTGCGTCTAATGGTCCTCGCTCGAACACCCTACCTGTTGCTACTGACAGGCTTTGCTCCTCAGAGAAGATATTAACTGCCAGCTGGCTGTGACAGTCTGCGCACTAATACTGACGTTTGTGTTGGCGCCGTGGCAGTATTTACAGCTCAGAAAATATATACAGTCAGATTATAATGGACCCAAGGATTTTCCAAGTAAAAAGTATAATAATGCACAAATTAGAAATATGACCATAAGAGTAAATTATTTAACAATAATTTCAGTACCTAGGGTCTTACTTAAGGAATAGCCTCCCTATATGAAATATACGGTGTATTTTTATAAAGAGAAAAAGGACTGCAGAGAACAGAGGATGGTGATTCCATTTACAGCGGGTCATCCAGCTAGATTTTCGAACAGCCCACTATGTCAGAAAACGGCTAAGAAAGGTAGAAAGAGAAAGTATGATTGATGTCGAATGTAAAAGTAAAATAACGTCGCATTAGGAAAAAGATTAACGTTACAGTTTTGTCATTTTCTTTTGCCAGACTCTGAACTACCTTTTCTTCATATTCCACGAATATACCTAGTAAGGAGATTCAGATTGTTTGTTTCAACATAGTCACCCTAAGTGGGGAAGTCTCTCGGAAAGTGACACTGGAGGGCAATGACCCAGGTGGGATTTTTGGTGACTATTATGAATACTTTTGAATCTTACAACACTTTAAGTAAATCTAGTCAGATGGAAAGAAGCCAATTAGCATTTTATCTCTATTCTAATTTCCCAGTAAAAACTGGAGATGCCAAAATGAAAGAATGGATTTGATCAGTACTTACTGCTCTAGTCCCAGGGCAGTTTGGAGACTGGCATTCACCGCTCATCCGGTTTGGGATCAAGACATCTTCCCAGCAAGAAGGACCCTTTGAGAAAAAAACAGCATATACTTAGTGCACAAATCGTAAATCAAACATACCCCCTAATACATTTTCTAAAATCGATTTATCTTATAAAATGACAGTGAAGCTAATCTGTAGTCCAATGATTTTTGAACAACGATTCATAGACCCTGGGGGTTCTCAGGACCCCTTCGGGGGATCACAGCCATTTTCATAACTGCACCAAGACGGTGTCTGGCACATGGCTCCAAACACATCTGACACGTACATGCAGTAGTTTCCCGACCACAGTTACATTTAATTGTTTAAAAACGTAATTCATTCCCTTAAGTTCATTGTGATTTCAGTTGGTGACTTTAAAATGAAAACACACATGCAAATTACACTCAATAAGACTCTTTGGGGGCAGTAGGGGAACACGCGGACTCCACCCGGAGGGCCGCCTGGCACGGTCCGCAGGCTGAGCAGGCACCTCGTCTCCTCCCCACCCTGAGGCACCGTGAGAATTAGACTTAATAACTAGCACCGTGTAAACCCATAGGACCAAGGAAAACAGAAGGCAAAAGTGTGGCTGAGAAGAGACTTCCAAACTTTTCTGGAAATCTGCAATTGGCTGCAGCAGAGGAGGGGGTCTCTGCGCCGGGGGACCCCAAGGAGCCTGAGGGCTCAAGAAAGGCAGATGGGAGAGAGAGCAGAGGGAGACCTGGAGCAGCAAATAGGGAGAAAGACACATTTTCATAAACAGAAGATCCTAAAATCTGGAGAGAAAGGTCAGATCCCCTGCTTGGAAACGAAAATCAAAGTAGAATTTTAAAGCAGTAGTAGCAGTGCCTTTAAGATCTAGCAAACGCAATTGTCACTTAAGAGGGAGAACGGTGAAAAGTGCCTGGGAGACGCAGAGCGGCGAAGTTGGCTCGTCCGCCTGGGGAAGAAGAGCCAAACCCGCCCCGCTCTGAGCGCGCCCACGGGGTGTGCCTCGGCGGGACAGCCACCCGCCAGCTGGCCGCGTGTCCTTGGCTGCGGCGGGGAAGGACGGGGGAGAGGAAGGAGCGTCCAGGGCTGCGGTGACGACAGCATCCACCAGATGTGTTGCGAGGGCCGGGCCCACCCGGGGAAGAGGACGGTTAGGACAAGGGGCCGTGCCTGTGGCGATTCTTCCACGGAAGACGTTGAGACCTTGCCGGAGGTTCAAGCTAGCAGTGAAATCGGTCGTTACCGTCAGCACCAGGACCGCGCCCTCCGGGCCCCAGGTCAAGCAGCTGCCCGGCCCCTTGCCGCGCGCACTAGCGATCGCACACACCCAAAGATCTCAGCACACCCCACGTCCCCAAGAATGCCCACCCCTCCCTCCCTCCTGCCCACCCCCTACACATCTTCACCAACACACACACGCACACACTGCAGGCTCATACACAAGCATACCACACACAGGTGCACAGACATACACGCACACGCACACACACAACACACACACAACTGAAGCAGAGGGGATCCGGGAGGCTGCACATCTACCTTAGAGAGATAGGCCAAACTTCCACGGGGGCTACTTAAACCTTAAAAGAAGCTAAGTTTTGAGTTCACAGATCATTCAAGCAAAAGCCACTGCTTAAACTGGAAGGAAGTCACTGTGCAGAAAAGAGGTGACAGGCCCCAGGCTGCTGTCCTTAGAGAGGCTGCTCCCAAGGCTGGTCCTCAGCTGGCTTCCGGGGTTTTGGACCTGGGGGTGCCCCCCATTCCCTTACTGATACAGAGGGTTCCCAGCACCCGAGGTGTCTGTGCAGACACAGTGGCCTTACAAAGCAGATTTAACTTCATTCCTTTCCAGTTTTAGAAAATATAAAATGGTAACTGGTTAATCATTGCATGCTATGTTTTAATGGTTTTATGGTTAAAGCATTTATAATTAATTGTGTAGGAGTAAGAAAGGTGTCCAGATAACGGGATTAAAAAGGGCTGCACATCACATGGCAGCACAAAGGGGCTATGAAGTAGAGCGTGCAAGGGGAAGAATCCCAAAATGCATTTTCTCTCTCAGATGTAGAGAATTGAAGAGAGAGATCTGAAAAAAATGTCAGGTAGAACAGTGTGAAATGCATGTCTTAATGAAGAATCATGTGGCTGATTTTCAGAAAACTTTCTCTTTTTTTTTGTGCAGTAGTGGTTACAACCAAGAAAAACACGTGAGTCAGCTGAGCTCCTGTATGGGGAGTGAGCACGCCAGCCAGGGTCAGCTGGCCAAATCCAGCCTCGGGGTCGTTTTCATACAGCCCACGACTAACTGTTATTGAAAAGCGTGGTAAGAAGAGCATTCCATGGCACATGAAAAGTAAATGACATTCACAGTTCCATGTCCACATGTAGCTTACGGGACAGGGCCGTGGTGATTCATTCATGTGCTGCCTACGCTGCTTCCACAAGCAAGGGCTAATGGAGCTGTTGAAACACAGAGGATGTGATCCAAAAAGCCTAAAATACTTACTACCGGGCCCTTAAGGGAAAAAGTTCACCAATCCTTGGTAGTAAATAAGATTTTTCAAGTTCATATTGAAAAGTACTTAAAATATATTGCAGCAGCATCTTGGCCGATGTAGAATCTCAGTCATTTGTATAAGTAGCTGTGTTCTGGGTCTCAAGTGAGAAATTACTTCAATTAAAACGTTAGGACTGTTGACTTGTGAAATCTGAAAAGGCATTGATAGAATCCAGTGATTCAAGTTGCTTGAATCAGTAAGAGAGTGGAAAATTACAGCATTGGGAGATTTGCCTTGACTAATATTACCACCAACTGAAAATCATGAAGCAGAATATTATTTAAACACATTGCCAACGTGCATGTAAATCAGAAATTCCAAAAAATGACTCAGATGCATGAAAAACAGTGATAAAAGTTTATCAAATATGAATCTTAAAGTAATATTTATTGTTAAGAATTCTAGAACAAATCTACAAGTCACTTTGGCTATGTCTTGTCATGTCCAATCAGGTGGAAAACTGAAGTACTTAACTGGCTAATTCTTATCCAAATATCACTCTGACAAGATTCAGACAGGCAGCTAAAACAAAAGTGTGTTTTTTTTTCTTCTGAATTATCTAAACAAATTCTATAATCTGTTCTTCACAGGTGGGTATATACAGTGCCGCTTAAAAAAATACAGATAATGCTTTACAAAGTGTTTGTACAAAGTCTTGGCATTTACATTTTTGAAAAGGGTAATTCTAATAGTATTTTACTTAAACTACATTTTTACCAATTATTTCAAGTTATCATCAAATGTGTTGCATTTAAAATATCCTCTTGAGTGATTCCACAAACATCTAAGTCATATAATTAAACTTAAGGGACTAAAATTATTTTGAAAATTATACTGGTGACATTACAAGGGCGGCTACACTCAGAGGCTTCCATCCGCCCTCCGATCTTTTCCTCTCTGTCTGCAACAAAGTAACACAGAGAAGTCATGTCAAAGTTCACCAACCTATTGAATCCCAGTTCCACCAGTTATTAGCTATATGCTCTTGAGAAAGTTTCAGTTTGTAACCCTAGGTTCCTCATCTGAAAAGTGAGGGGTTGAATACTTCCTTCACAGGGCTTTCATGAAACTAAATGAAACAACACTTGTAATATTTCTGCCAAGTGCCTGGCACATGTTGACTTATTTAAAAATGACAACTGTTGAAACTAGGATCTCTTATTTCTCAGAGTAGAACTCCCCGAATAAGGTTATTTTTAATTTAGTAGATAGGCAATAAGAGGCCAGTTTCAAGGGACCTGACTTATTAGCCCAGTGGGTTTTTCATTTCTTCCCTCTTCTGTTTCCAGATTACACAACAACATGGTTGACTCTCAAAGCTATATGAGAGAAGGAACCCAGATTTGAAATAGAATATACCGCATAATTCCCCTTATATAAAATGTAAACAAATCCATAGTGGCAAAAACAGACCAGTGGTATCTTCGGGGTGGCAGGCAGAGGGTGGAACAGGCTACAGAAGAGTGTGAAGGATATTTTGGGGTTGTTATGGGCGGAGTTGTGTTCTCTCAAAATTCACATCACATGTTAAAGTCTTTATTTGGAGACAGGGTCTTTAAAGAGGTAATTAAGTTAAAACAAGGTCATTATGGTGGACCTTAATTCAATATGACTGGTGTCCTTAAAAGATATCCTTAAAAAGAAGAGATTGGAGCACAGACACGCAAGGAGGAAAGATCACGTGAAGGGACAGGAGAAGCCGACCATCTATAAGCCAAGGCAAGAGGCGTCCGGAGAAACCAGCCTGGCTGGCAGCTTAATCTCAGACTGCCAGCCTCCAGAATTGTGAGTAAATACGTTTCATTGTTTAAACCACCCAGTTGATGGCACTCTATTACGGCACCCCTAGCAAACTAATACAGGGGTTACGGAAATGTTCTCTGTCTTGATGGTGATGGTGGTTTTGTGGAATTATACAGTTGTCAGAACTCTTCACGTTGTACCATTTAAATAGAAGCAGTCTATTTCACACAAACTATTTCTCAGTAAAATGTATTAGGAAAAAAATGAACCGAGCAATTGCTAAGAAAATTCTGTGAGGGAAGGAGAATCTTTGTGTCAAATGGTGTTTGAACAACTGAACATTGATATCTAAACCCCTTCCTCACTCCATATGCTTTCTAGAAGAAAACAAATGAGAATGTCTTTCAACCTTGGAACAGATAGAACTTTTTTTATAAGGATACAGAAACCTCTAACCATAAATGAAAAACTTTATAAATTGAACTTGAATGAAAATTAAAAAAAACTTCTGCTCATCCAAAGGCACTATTAAACATGAATATGGAATCCACAGACTGAAGAAATTATTGCAATACATATATCTATAAAATAATTCATCTCTAGAATATATAAAGGAATTTAAACAGTCAATACCATACAGACAAGCACCCCAATTCAAAATAATTAAAAGATTTGAACAGATTATTTTCAGAAGGAGACATACAAGTGGCCAATAATCATATAAAAAGATCATCAACATCATTAATAATC